AAAAAAAAAAAAAAAAAAAAGAATTAAAGCATTATATACAAGTATGATTTAATTTAAAAAAATAAAATAATTAAAGCATGAGTAGGCATTAATTTGGCCAAGTAGGGATACATAGTGGTAGTGGTGGGTATATTCACTTTGTGAGAGTCTTGCTGCCAAAAAGGACTATGAGCCACTTGGAGGTCAGGAACTTATTTCCTACTTTGACTGACAAGTATGACTTTGTTGGTTCTCTGTTCTTTGTGAGTGCAGGAGCTTGGGCAGAGCAGGGTGTACGTGATTCACTGGCTTGGGGAGACAGACCAAAATCCCTAACTCCCTGTTCCTTTGCTCACCACACAGTCTACATTCTGGGTTAGCCTCTTGAGTGTGAGGAGAGAGTTGTAGGGCTGGACCACCACGTCACTCATCTCATCCTGGTAGGGGAACACTGAGTATGTCTGCACCAGCTTCTTGGGGTACCTGAGAATGCAGAAAAAGGAAAAGGGGAGTTTGACAAGATCAGTTGGAAGGACCCTCATCACTGTCCATTTCTAAGGACAACAAGGACCAACCCTTTCCAAGTGCCACCAAGCTCTTGTACAAAAGGGGTGAGAGTAATACCAAAAAAGAAAAGGCCCAAGCACCAGATTCTGTAGATAGCCTCCCCACTTAGGTAAACCCTATGGCTCAAAAGGCACAATGGCAAACTTTGCAGCTCAAGAAAATAAAGTGACAAAAAGGAAAGCCTTTTCCCAGGGAAGCAGGTGAGATTAATGCCCTCTCACCAAACACAGGCTTACCTGTCATTCAGTCTCTCTAGAAGGTAGGAGCCCACGCCAGAACCTGTCCCCCCAGCAATGGAATGACACAGCACAAAACCCTGTATAGCAATAACAAACTCAGTTTCCCCCACTGAACTCTCACAACATGCTTCTGACACCAGACATATGGTAGTATCAATTCTGCAATAGATATCAGCTGGGTGTCCACTAATTCAGTTCAAGTTGCATTATCTACACTGTTCCTAACTTATGATGGTTCAGCTTAATAATTTTTTTACTTCGTAATAGATTTATTTGGATATAACCTGATGCATAGGCTATTTTCTTTTCTTCTTCTTCTTCTTTTTTTTTTTTTTTTTGCAGTATTTGGCAGGGGCTAGGTTTGACCCTGCCACCTCCAGCATATGGGGCCAGCACCCTACTGCTTTGAGCCACAGGCACCACCCCTGCATAGGATATTTTCAACTTACTTTGGGTTTACATCTGATCATAAATCAAGGATCATCTGCAGGTTGAGAGTTCAGTCCTACAAGACTACACCCCACTTTCAATGTCAATCACAAGGTTGTTTTACTTGTCAGATTGTGCCCCTGTTTTACTTGTTGGTCAGGTTGTGCCTCTGACCAACAGGTTATAAATTGAGGTTCCTGAGCCCCCCATCCTCATAGAAGCACATTTCCTGGTTTATTACAAAGGATATATATAAATAGCCAGTTGAAGAGATATATAGAGCAAGGTCTGGAAGGGTCCCTTAGCACAAGTGCTTCTGTCCCTTGGAGTTGGGTTTGCCATCCTCTCAGCAAGTGGATGTGTTCTTGAAGACCTAGTCCTTTTGAATTTTTATGGAGGCTTCATTACATAGGCATGATTGATTAAATCATTGTACCTTGGTAATCAGCTCAACTTTATTATTATTATTTTTGAGATGGGATCTCTCTCTGCTGCCAGGCTGAGTGCAATGGCATCATCATAGCTCACAGCAACCTCAAACCTCAAGTGATCCTCCTGCCTCAGCCTTCTGAGTAACTAGGACTACAGGGTCTCCCCACAACACCCAGCTAACTTTTTTGTACTTTTTGTAGAGACAGGATCTCATTCTTGCTTAAGCTGGTCTGGAATTCCTGGCTTCAAGGGATCCTCCTGCTTCTTCCCAGAATGCTATGATTACACAGGTGAGCCAGTGCAATAGGCCACAATCTTCAGTCCCTCACTTCTCCCCAGAAGTGGGAGGTAGAGCTGTAAACTCCAACCCTAAAAGCATTAATTTGATTTCCCAGGCAACCAGCCCCCATCCAGTGGCTATCTAGGAACTTTCCAAAAATCACGTCATTAACATAAGTTCAGGTTTGGTTGAAAGGGTTCTTTGGAACTATTCCAGAAACTAAGAACAAAAAAAATAAAAAATAAATTTTAAAAAAAATTTTTTTTTTTGCAGTTTTTGGCCAGGGCTGGGTTTGAACCCCCCACCTCCGGCATATGGGGCT